AGGGGTTGGGGTTCACGGGGTATTAGCCGTGTACTTTTATCGAGGCCGTCTGATCTACGAGTCTCCTATTTCAAATATTTTTTTAAAACTAGGAGTTAGGTGAGATCTCATACTAACTACGGTCATGGAGTCGCGCCCGTGGTCGTTGGATGTTTATTGATGTTTCCGAAAGGAGGCATGGGGTTTTTCTTTTATTGATGTTCCAAGTGAATCATGGGTTGGATCGGACAACCTTGTCTATTGCGTAATCCAATGAATAAAAATAATGATTTACCTATTATTAATTAATGGAGTCTTAGTAATATAAATAGTTGAGTCATGTGTCGAGTCTATAAACTAATGATGCGTGATGATTGACTATTAGTAGCATGTTAAGGATTTCTTTTATCTTTTGCAGCTTGTATGTACTCAGCTATGCTGATTGCGTGCTTTATGTGTCTTTCTTTGGTCATGACCTTCGCCTTTCAATGACCCTGTGATGATCCAATTTTTACACTTGTAATATTGGGGAGCAGATTAACCACAGGTTCTTACACACGCAGCATTTGCATCGGGGTTGTGAAATTTTGAGTGGAGAGTTGGTTATTATTCGCAGTTTATTTCTTTTCAGAAGTTTGAATTTTATTAAACTCTGGTTTATTTATTTACTACTTTTGTGGGGTTTTGAATAAGGGCCTTAATGGTTCCAAGTTGTATGATTTAATTTGGTTTTGGTTATTGGTTTTAAAACTTATTTATAACTGAATTAGTTTTTCCACTGCTATTTTCTGATAAAGCCTTAACGTTTGAACACGTGACGGTAGCACGCTAGTAATTCTCTTGAATATTGTTCAGCGTCCTCACAGATTTAAAGAGAGAAGTATTGGGGTGTTACAATGTATTAAACCTGAATGAATATACTTTAATGTGCAATTGAACATTTAATAAAATTTAATTAAACATCTATCAAAATAATTATTTGCATATATATGTGAATGAACATTTACCAATATGTAAATGAACATATATTATTGTAAATATAAACATAATATCAAAATAAAAATGAACTTGTATCTTACAAAATGACATTGTCATTTAATACATTTCGTATATATAGATAACCTATATATAAAATCATTTTCCTCGCGTGTTGTTTTTAATACATATTCTTTGTCAATATATACTTCGTATATCGATGTCTTCTACATACTTTCTTATATAATTTTCCTATGTAATAAGAGATCAAATTTTGAAACCATTAATAAACATTTACACATACAAATATGAACCCATTATTAGAAAATGATCATATACAGTTCAATATGAAAATGAACAATCATTAAAATATAAATGAACATCTTTCAATATGAACATGAACAGGTGTTAAAAGTCAAACGAGCATAAAAAATAGTTTCCACTATGAACTAAATTAATTATACCTACAGAAAATATGTGAATAAATCGGCCAAAAATAGACATTATTAGAATTCAATTTGAAGATCGTCTATTAATATGTGAATGACCGCTTATTAATATATAAATGAACATTTATGTAAATGAAAATGAACATTCTTAAATAATAATTTTCACTACGAACTAAATTTACATTTATATAATTTTACGAAATAGATCAAATCATCCATAAAATAAGGATAATTAAACTCTATTTTTAATTTTTTATGTCTGACAATGTTGTAATAAAATAATACACCATAAATTAATTCAACACAGAAGAGTGTATACCAAACATTATTTTAATATAATTACAATAATAAATCACTTTTATGATTAAAAAAGTGTAAGAATTCAAGAACTACTATCGAAATTTTCATATATTTAAAGAAAATAATTGATTAATACAGCAAAAGGTTAGGGTTTGTACTTTTTTTCTTCCAAAAATAACTTACAATTATCCTTGCAATTGTGTGACTTCATCTCTTATATCAAACATCGTGCTTGATTTTGATAGAGAATTTTGAGTTTTTTAAGTTAATGCTTTTGCAGATTTTGATGAGAGGAAATGGAGAGTGAAGATTAAAAGTGTATACTAATTTTAGGAGAGAGAAAATGACACTTCTATCTTATATTTTTGGGGTAGAAAGTAAACACTGTGTTTTTTTTGGAGGAAAGTGAATAGTGGGGGACTGGGGCTGTAGGTATATATAATTAAATGATTCAATTATCAAGCCCAAGGTCAAAAGTCTAATCCTCCAATCCATGCCAAGTCAAGGTCAGTACCCCAGCCACTGTGACAAGCCCACTTGATGCGTGGCCCATATCTCCTCATTGTGCTAAGGTATAAAAGCCTTCACTTTTCTCACTTTGCATTAATTCACAAATAGGCTGAAGCAATTAATTCTCTTGCATAGCACTTTCTCTTCCTACACTGTACTGATTTCGGCATCGGAGGGGCCTTCCTCAGCACAACCCCCGAGGCCAGTTTACATGTACATGTTGTGCAGGAAACCCTCAGCCCATCATCACTTGGGCCTAGTTCAGTCTTCAGCCCTTCAGCAAGGAGCTCGACGAAAATCCCATTGTTTTACCCGAAACATCAATTATCAAGTTATCAACACAAGTATAACACAACACACTATTTATAATTATATCAAATTTTAAGATTTTAGTTTAATATTTAATTGATGACTTGATGTCAATCAAATTAATATTGAATTTTTTAATTTAATCACACACATCGTGCGTGCATAAGGCTAGTAACCCTGAAATAAGTGAATGTGTGCACATAAAACAAAGGGTATGTTCTCATTTACTGAAATGAGTTGAATTGAACTGATAGGAGCTGAAATGAATTGAATTAATTAGAGCTGAGCTGAGCTAAACAGAATACAACTAAAATGAATATTTTATGAGAGAAGGAAATTAGGAGCTGAACTGAACTGAATTGAACAGGGCATAAGGCCCTGTTTTGTTCACCTTATTTTCACTTATATCAGGGTTAATATATTCAGATAAGTTCATATAAGGGTTAATAAATTCAGATAAGATAAGTTCAGGAAAAAAAGTTCAGATAAGTTGTGAAGGGTTAATCAGGGCTACCCTAGTTTAATTTATAACTAAAATAAGTTCTAATAATAATTTCAGATAAGACCAGATAAGTAAAAATAAGATGAATAGAACACAACCTAGTAAGCTTTAAAATAAGTGAATAAGGTGAATAGAACAGAGCTTAATTATTATACATGACCAAAGCATAATACATGAATAATGTAAAAATTGAAGTATTTCAAGCAACTAAAAATAAAGGACATTATACTTCTGTTGATTTCTTTGTCCTTTATTATAGTCTTTACAATAAAACAAAAACACTATATGCCATATTTCAATGGTTAGCCTTCTAATGTTTAACCTTAAGATCAAAGTATTAGTCCTTATTAGAGGTGGTTATTGGACAGGGTATCCCAATGATAATAGGGTCAGAGCCAAACTTATAGGGCTTTTAATGGACAGCGCTATTAATGAACAGAGCCCTTATTGGGTAGGGTCAATATAGGGCCAACATGTTTTTCCAATTTAGTTGATAAAGAAAATATATAATGTAAAAATAATTATATAGATTAATTTGTATTCATATGTATTTAATAATGGCTTTGTCCAGTATTTATTTTAATTGATATTTTGTAGGCCCGCCCATTATCGACCCGCTGCCCGCATTGTTCCGACCCTATATTGACTCTATAAAATGTGACCCTCTTTGATCCTGACCCGACCCGCCCAATAACCAGGTCTAGTCCTTATGCATCAATGCATGTCATAAATTTTATGTATGATGAAATATAAAATGGAACGGTAACCAACAAAGGAGACTAGGATAGTGCATGCACGTAACATTTTATGGGTTTTTTTTTTTGTTTCATATAGAAAAATTAAAGATGGTCAAAATGAATCGGATCAAATGGTCACTAAAAGGATCAAAACCATGACCGATATACTTTGGCTAATGGCCGGGAAAGAATATGGCCCAACACAACCTATTTGTGCCGTAACAACATAAGATGCACCTAATTATACATTGTATATTGCCATTAAATCAGGGTTCGTTTGGCATCACTGTGGTTTTCTGTTTTTTGTTTTTTAAATCATAAGATATATATCATATAATGAATAAAAATTAGTCAGACTTATTAAAATCATGATAATTTTGAAACTGACAACAGAAAATTGAAAACACCTTTATCTTGTTTCCTATTTTTGATTTTTGATATTCAAAAAAACTGAAAACTAAAAATAAAAAACAATACCAAACAAGAATTTGTTGAGATTAATAATATTTATTCTCTGTCAAAGACATTTGACTAAAATCCATTACTCATCCAAGTTTCAAATTCTTTTCATTCGAATGTTTTGGTATATTTTTATACCATGACACATTAATTTCTTTTACTCCGTAATTGTTTTGGTATATATTGATTTGTTTAATCACTTTTCTCATTTCATTTGTTTGTTAATTTGCATTTATGGTACAATCATACTTTTTCACATCTTTTTTTTACTTTCCTTAATTTCAATATAATTCATTTAATTATCCACTACAAATAACTATAGATAAGGTAATAAATAATTTGTTTTTTTATTTCATTAGTTTATATTTGCATTTATGGTATAATCATAATTTCACATGATTATTTTTTACATTCCTTGATTTCAATATAATTCATTGAATTATTCACTACAAATAAGAAATAACTGCATTGAAGGCAATAAATAATTTTTTTTTTTTATTGTGGTCAAAGTTAGTTCATAAATAATACAAAAGTCAAACCTCACACCATTACAGACATCACACCCGTAAATAGAAGAAAATATGTTTTAATATCAAAGTATCAAATCGATGTACTACGTAGATTACAAACACACTTTACTCATTTCTAAACCAAACCAATTCACGAAATCAGATAAACTCTCAACCCAAACTCCAAAAATTCAAATTACAACCCACATACGCACAATTCAAATCCAAGATCTAGACCGCATTCCGAACAGCCCTACGGACATCGACGTAACACCAACAACTTTTTTTTTTTAAAAAAAGAGCAGAAACGGAACAAAGAAGAAGAGAACGGCCGGTGGGTACAACGGCCTCCACTAAACAAAACCCAAAACCCCCAAAATTCACAGCCAACTCTTTCTTTCTTTCGTTTTCTTTCCTTTTTCTTTATTTTAATTTCTTCACACCAAACACCCTTCTATACATCACCATCTCACCATTACTCCGCCATTTTTACTTCCCTTTCACTTCTTTCTGTTCTTCATCACTCCCATTTTCTCTCTCCTCTTATTAATCAACACCCCATTTTTCATCAAATTCAACAGCATAAATTGATTGATTGATTGTACTTCTGGAAATTTTGAAAAACAAAAAAAATTCAAATAGTATTGCGTTTTGAGTAATCTTAACGCCATTTTTCACGCATTCCCAATTTTAGTTTTTGCCCATTTCTCCAATTATTGCGATCATTTTCTTGTACGATCTCTTTCTCTCTCTTAATTTTTTTGTTGATTTATTCGTACAATTTTGTTTGTGAATCTGATTCTGTTTTTTGAGTTGATATTCCGAGTCAAATTCTGAGTTCGATCTATTTTTTTTCTTTTAAATTTGTCCCCCTTTTTTGTAATTTGAAAATTTTTCGTCGCTTTTCGAACATTCTGGTAATCTCTTTTGGGCGCTTTAATTTATCTCATGATCGTGCTTTTATTGCTCTAAATATTTGCTACTTTAATTTTCTTTAATCAATGCAATTATGCAATTACTGTAGAATAACTTTTAGGGTTTTAATTGGATTTATTATTAATTATTAGTTTCCTTTTTACCCTAAATGATTCGATGCATTTTTTTTTCGCATTCTTATAAAAAATATGTTGAATTATAATTATGTTATGCTAATTTCGTTGATTTTGCAGGAATTTTTGGTGTATATGCTTAGAGAAAAAGTCATCATAAGAAGAAATTATGGGTTCTCAGTTGGAAATTCAACCTCGTGAGCTTAAATTCATCGGTTAGTCACTAATTTTGCAATTTTAATTGAATGTTATTATTTATTTATTTGGTTTGTTTTCTGATATTTGCAATGATTGAATTTACCTTTTAATTATCGCGATTTCTGCAGTAGTTTGACCACTTTTTTTTTTAATGGGATGAACTTAAATGATTGCTATTATTGACGTTTAACTTCTTTTTTGCGGACTAGTAGTTGAATTGAACAAACAGATCAAGTGTACGGTTAGCCTCAGCAACAAAACTGACCAATATGTTGCTTTCAAGGTACAATTTGAATGTCCTTCGATTTGTATTTGAATCGAAGTATTATGGATCGTACTGTCGTCCTGTTGCTTGCTTGAACATTTCTGTATTGGTTGAGATTATGATGATATGAAGGAAATGAGTTTTGTGACCCCAGCATGATTTTTGCAGGTTAAGACTACATCGCCGAAGAAATATTGTGTGCGGCCTAATGTTGGTGTCATTCAGCCAAAATCAGTCAATGAATTCATTGGTATGTCATTATATATATATATATATATATATATATATATATATATATATATATATATATATATATATATATATATATATATATGTACTTGTTTAGCTATATTTGCATCTCATAAAATTTGACTTCAATTATCATAGTTTATTACTTTGATGACCATGTATCAAAATTTGAAGCATTACATTTGTAATTGTGAATTGCATTACTTAAAACAACAATATGTACCTTTGTAAGGTGATGACTTCTGTTATTTTCATTTCGATGATATGCAGATAGAAATAATGGTTTAAGTTGATAAAAGTTGGCTATGTAAGTTGACATGGTCCATTATATTTAGTAGAGTATTTTTAACTTGCCCGGCAAAGGTTTAGCATATGAAGAATTGAAGATAACAGGAGTTTTGAGGTAGATTTTAGTAACATTTAGAGCCACTTTTTGTAGGAAAGCCCTCAGCAATTACTACTTTTGCCTTGTGGGGTTTGCCAATGTATACACAAATATGGCAGATTTAAGTGATTATAGAATACTTTTTTTTTTGTATATATTTTTTATTTTGTCGATAGAGAGTGCAAGAAATGGTATATGTTTTATGTTGGCAAACACAAACGTCAAAATGGTAATTCAAACTGAGGAAGCAGGTGAAAATTATATTCCCAAATGATAAATGAGAGCACTTTGATGTTTGTGTTGCATGATGATATTCTACTTTGGTTAACTTAACACGAGGAACTCTAATGTGGAGCTTTTGTTTTGTGATTATTACCTTGAAGTAGAATTTTTAGTACCATAAAGCATCCTCTGTATCATAGTTCTTGGGCCTTGATATATCCCTTTAGAGAGGATGGTTTAATTTGATTGCTCTGCTGTATACATGGTCACTTTTCTTCTGTTAGCTGATGTTCTGAATTTTTTATTAATTGTTAAATTCTAAGATTTATAGGATGGGAGGTTTACCAATGTGGGTACTTAGTGTGTCTTAGCCCTAAGCCTCTGTTAACCTTGTCATGGTGAACTTGCATCATTCATATCCCGTTGCTTCCCTAAAATATCTCTTTAATATCTTTACTATTGAGATCAAGTGTAGATCTTGTATTGAGGCCTTTAGGAATTGAAACAGTGAAGAATTTTAGGAGTTGTTCTTATATGGGCTAACATAAGTTAGTGTTTTTATCATTTCTAGAAATTTGTTATTACTCCAAAAACATACCATCTGATCTTTAGTAATGATCGACCCATGTAACCTGTTTATTTTCAATAATTTAAGAAGTCAGTTATTGTATATTTGGTGCCAGGGGAATTAAGAGTCTCATTTTTGAGTCTTGAAGCGTACTATGGATGCTAGAAACCTGCAACTGATTTTGGTTGGTTCAGCCTCCTGCTTTTCAAGCTTTAGCTTTTGAGATTTGAGAATAATGACAGAAAAGTAATTAGGATGAGTCAGATAGTGATGTCTACTTAATCAGAAAGCAGAGTCTACTAGTTCACCCACTTTTAACACTCCACCTACTTTATTCTTTGCCTTGTCTTTCTCCCTTTTCTTCCTGCTCCATACCACTGTTTGAATATGAATATGGTTAACAATCTTTGATGCAGTTAGAACTCAGTTTCCTTTTTCATACTTTTTTTTTGGTGCAGTCATTATGCAAGCTTTGAAAACAGCTCCAGCTGATATGACTTGCAAAGATAAGTTCTTGGTTCAAAGCACAATTGTTCCTGAAGGAACAATGGAGGAGGACATTACGTCTGAAATGGTATGAGTCAGTTGCTGATACTTATAATTTTAAAGTTTGCACGTATGCTTATTTTGGTGGACTTATGGTTACTGCTTATCTTGCAGTTTGTTAAGGATGGTGTGAAGTATATCGAAGAGATGAAAATGAGAGTGAACCTTGTTATCCCAACCCCACCATCTCCAGAGTTATTACCCCTCAACGGAACAGTGAAACAGGTAACAATTTCTGTCATTTGAGTTGGCATATGGTTAGGTCTTGAATTCTCTTTTGCAGCCCATTCTGTGCTTTAACACTGAGTTGTTTTCATGTTGGGTTATGTCTACTTCTCTGTTTTTGTTTGAATCGCAACACTTCCATATTTAAGGCCAAACTTCATTTGCTTTGACCTTGCCTTTTTTTTTCCCCAGGAAATGTTACTAAGTGTGGTCTTGCTGTATATTTTTTAATATTTGTTTGGATGTATCAATTTTTCATTGTATGTTACTAATTTGCAATTTAATATAAACTTTGTCAGAGTTGTGTACTGTAGATTGTAAAAAGACGTGTGTTACAATATAAAAGAAACTCGGGATGCATTTATTTAAAAGTGTTCAAATCTTCTGCTTGCTTCATGCAATGTGTTTCTGGTTACACTGACTTATTATTTTGTATGTTATGCTCCCTGAATACATGATAGCAAGTTTCATTTTACTGAATTCTAAAATATCAAGATGTTTAGCTAGAATGTGGTGGTGTTTATTCCCCCCTTTTTTTTAATGCTGCAGGTTGATGATCATGTTGAGTCTAAAACAGTAAATAAGGAGGATTTGAAGCCAGTGAAGGATACAGTCCATTCAGATGTTGCTCGATCTCAGGATGTGAAATCAGAACCAATTAAGCAGATGAATTATGATCTTAACAAGGTTGTTGACTCAAGTGTGAAGAAAGATGTTGAGCCACAACTCACTAAGGATAGCAAGGAAATAAAACCAGTAACAAGAAACAATGAGGAATCACAAATTATTGAGCCGAGAATCCCAGTGATTGAGGAGGATCAAAGACTATTCAAGGATGTTGAAGAGATGAAATCAAAATTACATGAACTTGAATCGAAATTAAGCAAGGTCAGTTTTTGTATTAGATTTTACTTCATTAACTGTGACGTTATGCTTTTCCTCTTGTCCTCTCCCCTTCTTAGGTGGTTCTTCTCTTTTCATTTTTTTCTTAAGCCTGTTCTTTTACTTTGACTTCCTTTTTATAGTGCTAATTTTTGAGTATTGAAAAGGAAACTCTCACGATTTTGCTGAAACTCTCATGAAATTAGTGGTGCTTTTTGCTAATTGGTAGCCTGGTGTACAGTGTTCTGTATGTTTTGTTTCCTCAATTATTTACTAACAATAAGATGACATTGGCTGGGATGTGCTTGAAGCTTGGAGTATTGTACATCATTACTACATTATACGTCTTCTCTCTCTATGTTTTTCTTTTCTGATTGACATATTTTGTTAAGCAAGCTTATGGAGAGTGCTATATGTGAAACAGTGGGTAAAATATCATGTGCAAGGAAATGGTTAATGTTAGGGTAATTGCACATAAGAATAAGAAAATTGAAGTTTAGAACTTTGAATGGGTCAATTACATGGTGAATCTCGCCTATAATTTTCTTTTAGCATTTCTCTTCAATCTGAATTCAACATTCCAAATGCAAGACTATTTTGAAGTCAAATTACCATGTATATTTCTGGCAAATAATTATAATGAGTACTCCCCTCTGTTGTAGATGCTTGGATGATTATTCCAAACTAGCCTGGATCTTTTCTCTGTTTTGCTCAACTTGCATATCGTCTGACATAACCTCTTAAACATTGACTGCTGTCCTACGTTATCTGGTCTTTTGTTATATGTTTTGCAAGTAACCAAAAATTTGTCTTGTGGATTTTGCAGGCTGAGGTGACCATTTCAAATCTGACAGAAGAGAGGAGGCTGGTCATTCAGGAAAGGGAGAATCTGAAACAAGAGATGGTACCTTTATTTTTATTCAAATTAAAGAATTTTAAATTTATAAGCTTTTCAAGGAAAATAGCAATAGCCTCTTTTTTATTGTGAAGTTTAGGCTGAAGACCTCTTTGTAATTGCACAATCTGGCTGCACTCAATTAATTTCTCATATTTAGCCCTAGGCAAGTGTCTACTTCAGGTCATAGCCATTAGGAAGCTTTTTATTGACTTGGAGGATTATTGCACATGTGCCCTCTTTTTGGCTGTTGCTAAAAATTAGACCATGTTGATCTCATTTTTGGCGGTTGTTTATGGCTAATGCCTTGCCTTTTAAAATTTTCTGCAGTCTTTTCTAAAATCAAGAAAAGTAGAAAGAAGAGTGCAGGATGGATTTCCGCTTATGTTTGTCTGCATGGTAGCACTCATCAGTCTTATCGCCGGGTATGGCTTTCATCTCTGAGAACCACCAGTGTTTGAGGCCTAAGCATGAACCACATCCTTAAGCCTCTTCCGCTCTTCAAATACAAAGCATAGTTGAGGCTCTCTTTGTCAGCCTAGTTTGCAGAGACAGGGTAATGTGAGAATGTAGTTGTGGCAGCCATGAGGTATTGTGTATATGTTAGAATTTCAGTCGATATTATTTGTACATGACCATACTCCCCCCCCCCCCCCCTTCCCTCCCCCTCTTTCTCCCTTTTGCTCTCTTATTTTACTCTTGAGATGATGAGAATAAATCAGTAGTGTTGCTCTGTATGTGTGGATATTTTATATACTCGTAGATGTATGTTTTGCCCTCTAGTAAAAATACAAGGGTTGAATATTTCCCCTGTTGCGATACTGAAGTGGACTGCAATGTAATTGATTTTCCTTTCATTCTGGCAATTTAGCTAAGTTAAAATGTTTTGAAACAGCTTATTCCTCGAATGTTAAGTCCATTTTGATTGTATTTTGATTCAGTATAAGATGGTTTGAAACAGCTTTTTTTTTTTTTTTTTGGATTTTTAATACCTTTCCACTTTGTATTTTGTTTCACTGGTACTCGGTAACTTCAGATTATTTTGGCCGTCTCCCATGCACCATGCGGCTCAAATTGTTGGAACGAGGAGAAAATTTTAAAAACTGGGTGTAAGAAGTTGGATGAATTGGGTTGTACTTTGCGAACTTTAATTACAGTCCAAAATTATGTGAACTCTAACTAATCCGATCTAAAGAAATTTATTTAGTTCAACCATTCCCCCCACCCTCGAAAATCCCATCTCTGTCTCGATCCCGGCCCCTTCCCGTCTCTATTTCAGCCTTCCTCACCTTCCCTTGCCTCGATTTCGGCCTCTGAGACCACCCACAACAGCGACGACCGCGACCAAAGCTTTGGTATCACGGTTGCTGCTCTGATCTCACAGTGGCTTGGACTGGAGAGCCTGTTCAGTACACCTGGTTAAATTGCTGATTAAATTTTGCTAGAATAAAAATAAATTCCCTTTGTGCGTCGATTTGGAAACTAATTCCCTAGATACCGTCCATGTAGGATCGGTGTTGGGTGTGATTTTTTAATTTAATTTTATTTTATTTTTTTACCTTAAAACCACTAATGACAATAGCGGTTTTTAAGCGTCATTAGCGTTTTTAGAAAAGAGACCGCCTATTTCAATAAACAGGTCTCTTTTCTTCCTTAAAAAAGTAAAAAGGCAAAGAGACCTTTCGATAAAAAAGGAGGTCTTTTTTCTGAAACCATGTCTTAACCACCAGAAGGAAAGAGAACGCGGGACAACCGCTAATATTGCTAGCAGTTTAAATCAAACCAAATACCAATCCTACATGGACGGTATTTTGGGAATTTGTTTTTAAATGAATGTATAGTGAGAATTTGTTTTTGTTTTACACAAAGTCTTATATGTGGCTGGCCACACCGTTTGGCCAGCCACTATAGGGGTTACTTTGCTAGTGTTATGGGGGTTACTTGATCAGTGTTAAAGGGGTTACTTTATCATTGTTATAGTGTTACTTGGTCACTGTTATAGGGGTTACTTGATTGGTATTACCGGGGTTACTTAATCAATGTTATAGGGGTTACTTTAAGTGGTCACACGGTGTGGCCGGCCGCACACAAGACTAGCTGTTTGTTTTAACAATATTGAGGGAAATCGCTCCAAATTATTTGGTGACACATCTGTACTTTAAACCAAAAAAAAATCAAAAAAATTGTCTATTTATCAAGTAACCGGTCACTTGGTACCATTAGGAGTGGATTTGGTATAAAGATTGGATTATTAAAAAATAATCGATGGTAGGATTATTTTAGGCGGATGAGGTAAAGGTCGGATTAGTTTAAGCAATTTTTCCTATCTTTTATTGATATTTTATAAATTTTTAATTGGTTTTTTTTTTTTTTTTTTTTAACGTAGTTAAATTTGCTATGTTGCCCAAAGATTAACATAAATGTATATAACTCTATATTCCAAAGATTAACGACTTTGGAATGGACTTCATAGTTTTCTGAGTGCTGAATTCACTTGCTATCTTGAATGCATTAGTCTGTAGCTTAGAATTAGAACCAACATCAAATGGCAAGCATGTCAATGATCAAATTGGGTTTAATAAACAAACAAGACGTTAATGATATGTATATGGACAATTAAGTTCCATTAAAAAATTTACAAACAACAATGGTAGTTTTGCTTATAGAGTATTTATATTTGATTCAACTATGATGTATTTATTAGATCTAAATCTCTTTGTAGATGTTGTATTGATGATTAAAATTGTAAATTTAAAATAATTAATTTAACTATTTAGACTTTTTACATTATTATACACTGACTATAATTTTTATTATAGAAATATAAACTTTTTTTAATATGAAGTATATAATTGTATAAAATTGATAATTAAGATATCCAAAAGTTATGTACTGATCAAAATGCCTAAAAACAAGGATTTCAATGGAGGGGGTAACAATAAAAATTATTTCACAAATTAACAGAGAAATGAAATTTCTCTAATTATTTATGTTTGAACTCTAAAACGGACAGATAATCAATGTATGCTCTGATGCTCTCACACCATGTCTACGAGTCAATTTTGGAGTGCATTTAGTTTTAAAATCTCCAAATTACAAATTTTGTTTATCAAATGGAAAAACAATAAATAAATCAACAAGATTGTCTAGTCAATAATTCCGTAAATAATTCAACAAATATGAAGCCCGTTTATAATGAAAAATTATTGATTAATTTACAATTTTGCCATTTTTTTATTAGGAGATAAATTTATATCTTCCCCAGTTAGTAGAAGAAATGGCAAACTTATGGTTTCATTCATAAGAATATAGGTAGACAATGATCAATACAAACATAAACAAACCTCCAACATTGTTTCTGCTCTGTTCTAAGGGAAGTTTATTCTACAATAAAGGAAAAAAAAAAAAAAAAAAAAACCCAAACTTCTGCTTGCAAAAGCGGTTTCGAAGGAAAAAGAAAATCCTAACTGAATATAGGACTACAAAACATTGGAGTATTCTAGCTACAGCCAGATTAAAGAATACATCAACAAATCGCCATACTGTTTGAATATATTGATAATTTAAGCTGCAGATTGATTGTAACTTACTAATCTATTAACAGAATTATTGTACAACTCTTCAAACAGGAACGCCCACGAGACCAGACACCAGACTTCGTTGGTATGGGGCATTTTCCGACCTCCCAAATTGCCAGTAGGTTAAAGCCTCAATTTACTTTCCTATGTTCTGTCTGCCAAATTGTGAGTGCTTTGTTCAGTAGGTGAACCAGGGACAAAGGGTACAAAACCTCGGCCACCAAACACAGGCCGCATGAAAGAGTCATCAAATTTGCGCCAATAGTGATGGACTGTGTGAGTAGGTGCATTTAGAAGCATGCGGAGGCTACTAGGTCGAACTATAGTAGGCTCAGTGCCATTGTCATGGTTCCCCACATCAACTTCGTAATCTTGATGGCCCTCAAGGAGTGGCGAGTATGCTTTTGGACTTCCTAGATCAGACACGGTGCTGCAACTAGTAAAGTGTTTCGGTTGAGGCAGCAAAAACATAATGAGAGGCTTTGTCAGCAACCCAAACACCTGCAGGATTGACAAAGATCAAGCAAGGATATCAAAACCAAACCTCTGTTCTTTCCCAAGCTTGTTTAGTATTGCATGAATTCTTTTACATCTCTTTGTTTATTGAAAGTCCAAATATTATACTACAAATCTACAAGTAAACTGTACAGCTAGCTCAATACAAAGACATCAATTGAGGAAATACCTAGCTGAAATCTTTTTCGAGGGAATAGTAATCAACCTGTACATCCTTTTTATGATAGATATAACAATGTCAATGGTCGCCTATTGCCAATTTCAAGAATGTACTTAACTCTACTGACTTGCATTTTTACTGACAACCACCTCCCAAAATGATAACAAGTGGTAAACTAGTATTGAATAGAAATCATAGCATACATGAATGTGCATTATCATGTTTGGTTCATCAAGTTGGAATGGATTGGTATGGAATGTCATACTAGAGGGGTATGGATTCTAATACCCATACTAGTCCAATGTTGATTGGTTTTATTGTTGGAATGGATTCTAACCTTCATTAATAGAATGGAATGTGAATCTTGGGGGGAGGGGTGGGTATGGGATTCCATGGGTATGAGATTCCATTACTAAAATCCTCAACAAAACAAAAAACTGGATGGAATGATGGTAACTCCATTCCAAATGATCCAACCAAACGACCCCCTTAGACTAGGTAATACCATGCAAACCACTTTCGGTGTACACTGGAGTAAAAGTATGTTGAGATAACTAATTATTTAGATCTCAAGATATTGAGTGATGAAAGTGAAAACAGCAAGAATCCAAGAAATGATGTCGATAATACATTTTTAAGAAGAAAGCCAGGCTGCTGGCAGCATAATTACTTACCATTGTACTGAATAGGACAACAGTTATAGTGCTTGTGATCATGATTGCATTCCCCCTCAGCTGTGTGTGCCCTGACCTCGTAAACTGCAAAAACCATTTAATAAACCAAGGATTTAACTGGTAAACTGTAAAAGATGATGATCATGACATGCATAATTAATTTAGAAAGCTTGAGCACTATGAGATGGTTGTAAACCTATAGATAAGTGATCATCAGAAATGAATCAGTGACATACCTGATTATAAGCAAGTGCCATGGAAACAGCACCTCTCATAAGACCAGCCCACCATATGACCACCTATATTTAGAAATATTGACCAACATATAAGCTGATTAAGAAGCAGGAATATATACCTTTGAAATTTTTTTAAGTAAATGGGAAATTTGCTTACCTGCTGGTTGAGGGAAACCTTTTCACTATGCGATTTCTTGGCAAAGTTCATTAACCATGATAAGGGGAAAACAAAAGCTGCTCGTCCAACCATGATCAGACCAAGCAATATGGAACTCACAGCAACAGAAGTGCCAGGACTGCAGCGCACATCAAGAGTCAAAAGAAATAAAGTAGTAGAGTGAAATTTTTGAAGTGGAAACTTAAACAGAACATGCCCAGAAGATGGTATTTAAGTCAATAAAATATCAACAAAATTCTTCAAGAGATAATAATACCTATCACTCACAAATCTCCACTTCTCAATGTCCAATGCATCCATACCAACATATAGAAAGAGGAAAACCTCAGCAACAAAAGACAGTGTTGCAAAAGCATGCCTGTTGTAGAGAAGTGAGAAAATCACAGATTAGAGCAACCATAAAATCTTAGAGTTTACAGCAATTTAAAAGATAAGTAGTAGTACTTGGTGGTTACTCTTGAGCTCTCCGTCACATTGTGCCATGTATAATGGGACATGACAATTCCACAGAAGAACACTGTAAGAATTCCACTTAAATAGAAAAGCTGCAAGAAATAAAAATTATTAGCTCCTGACAAAACTCATACATAATTAACAAAACTAGTACTGGTCTAGTCCCACAAAACAAGACCTGTATAAAAGAAGATTGTCTTCTCAGAGAAGTTAACAAAAGAAGGGGGAATTCAGAATGAAAAACTTCAATCAAAAGAATTATGGAAGCTTACTTCAGCAAGCATGTAAGATAGATAAGCCATAAGCATCATTAATGCAACCTCGCGATCAGTGGAGTGCCTGCAATATTGCAACTATTAGTAAGATACCATCTTTACTGATAAGCACATTCTTAATACTCTTGAAGAGGTGGATCGGAGTTCCGAATATAATACAGATGACAGATTAATGCTATTGCACTACAAAGAGCACAAAGCAATAACATAGGAGAATAATAGTTATTGTTAACTAGTGCAAAAACTAGAGAAAGCTTTCGATTTCCTTCTATAAACGAATTACACATCACAAAACATCCTAGGATATAACATATAAAAACAATTACCCCCCCCCCCCCCCCCAAAAAAAAAAAAAAAAAAAAAAAAAAAAGCTCCAAAAAGTTCAAGATAACAAGTATGTGCCAATTCAGGACCAGAAAACAAGGATGCTGTTAGTTTTGTTTGGAAGGATATTGTTCAAAATAAGAAGAAAAAAATGTCCATATCAAGTATATTAGGTAATCCCAGGCAGACAGGACTGAGGACCGCCCCATAAGTGTCATCTGCATGTGAGCTTCTCTAGCCAGGGATCATTTTTTGCTTCCATAATGTTTGCACTATCAAAAATATGGAGCAACTGCCAACTATTTATACCTGGCTATTATTTTGAGAAAGTAACAGATAGCTGATGATTGGCAAATGGCAAACCATAAAAGCAAAAAGTGGAAGAAACACAAAGAAACTGAGTGGAATGCATGGCTCGGAGCTCCAGCAGTCCAGCACAATCATAAATGGCAGCTATGAAATAAAATCTGTATAGAAATCCCTAATGCAAAGATGAAATGTAGAATGGGTTTTCTTGTTTTTTCTAATCTTGTTTTAATTCTTCCCTTTTTAGAATGTATTGAAGAATAATAAAGAACAAAATAAATAGATTGCATACTCTTTTTTTTTTTTTTAATTAAAAGATATTCTGATGATCCATGCCAATGCACCTAATCATCGGACATTCTCACAACTTGCATATATTTCTAGCCAAAAACCCTACCTAATTCATACAAGAATACACAATAGACACCACTTTGATCAGAAGCAACCATTTAAAATGACTGAATGCCGAAATCCAGGTACCTACAACACTACAAGAATCAAACTATAGAGCAGATATCTCTTTAGCCATCTTTGACAGTACAACATTACACATATGAGTTTTTGTTTGATGACTTCAGGTAAATGTGTAATTAAGCATACATATCTGCATGAAATCATGTAGATTGCTGATAAATGTTCAGAAATCACAAATAAAACTTCAAGAGACAAGAATGTGAATTGCAAATTCAAGCATAGTTTTCATCAATGAAATTTCAATAAGGTCTGGCAGACAGTAACAATTACATGAGGTCCATTGTCCTCTGCACATTAAGATAGACTTTTGTATGCTGGATAAAGTTAATGTCCTTAGTTATCCAGGATTCAGACGGGTGATAAGAGTTTTAGCTTAGCATAAGTGAGCTTAATAATCTCCATAGGAAGTAGCAGACTTCATGGGAAATGAACATTTAATTTATATGCATACACGTATTTAAAATTGTATGATCGTGGACATTAATTATAAACTGGAAAATGTCCATATATATTTCACTACACAAGGCAAAGAACCAATAAAATAAAATGAGTAGAAGAAAATTGCAAACATCCAAGTAAAAAAAAAAACACACCTTCCAAAGTACAACTTTTTGATAATGTAAGCACTGAGCAAGCCAGTCTGCAAATAGAACAGAGAATTATTATTCCATAACAAATCAAACCACGCATTACAAAAAATGAAGAAGCAAGAACGGGAAAAAAAAGGAGATGGGCATAGCCTTACAAATGCTCCAAGTATAGTGCTTGCGATAAATAAATATAAGAAGTTGCCCATAAATTGTAAGGCAATTCTGTGATCAATTGTTGTGAGGTCAAAGCTCTGAATCGCATTGAAAAGCACCACTGATGTGGCATCATTAACAACACCCTCACCAAACACCAAACTGTAGAGCAGAGGGGTCTCATCCTGATTGAGCACCTGTTCCATAAAAGGCATCTTTTAAGTTCTGCACTAATAGAGTAAAAGGTCTTTGCTTTCAGATTTTTACATGGATTAGAAATGGACTTACCTGCAATGTGCAAACAGAATCTGTGGCAGCGAATATTGCACCGATAGCTGAAAGTAAAGGAGAACATTAAAGCTCAAACAAAGAGAGTAACATGTGCTGTGAAACAGCATGATGCAAAGAAAATAAATACCAAGATAGTCTGCCAAGTCCAGAGAACCAATATCCAATTTCTTAAAAATTGACAACGCTCCTGCATCAAAATTTAATAAATAAATAAGTAAACAAAATAGCAATTCCTTCAGAAACTTATAATTTGCCAATAAATGAGACTCATATAATTTTTTGCAGGAATTTATCACCCACCATAAGCTCATTGGTCAAATCATAAATCCTAATGTTTTTTTCCTGATTTTCTTCTATTCATCCCTTCATTGGTACACAAACTAAGAACGAAGATGATATTTGATACCTAGTTTTCTTAGATAAATCTGGAAGTGTACCAAGTTCCAATTTTCCCGCTTCTGGTCAAGGCTTGAGGGGGATATTCAAAGTAGGTAACACTTAAATATAAGTATTAAATAAGTCTTTAAGGCTTTAAGCAATGTCCCATCAAGTCAAAAAGATTCTGAAGATCCAACAAGAATTATGGAAAAAATGTATGTAGCACATCAAAATAGTAATGTGCCATCATTACTCACATATAGTGACGGATAAAAAAGCAACTCTATCTTCTAGTTAGCGATTACGAGCAGAGAAGATGGTTTGAATTGTCAATGAATGCAAGAAGGGTCAAGGCACTGATAGCAGCACAAGATAACCAACAGGTGTACTTAAAGCTATGAAAAGAAAGTTCGTTCAAAAAGTGTCCTTTTTCCCTCTGTCTTGCCCTGGGGGAGGGGCTTAGTAGTTATAAAAGGAAGTTTCATTTCACCTAATAAAAACTTGTATTACAGAGATCAGGTGAAGGAAACTAAAAAGCCAGTAACATAATAAGGAAACAAAAATAAAGATATACAAACATCAATGGGCAGAAATACAGCCTTCTAGGAAGGATCCCTATGGGCCCCTCGTCATGTGCTGAAATTACACACAACAAAAATGCAGCCTACACCAAAGACCGAATCCAAGAAAGCACCAAGGTGAAAGAACCTGGGGAAAACAGTTCAACAGCAAAAGTAGTAACATATACCAATTACTGGTCCATCCCCTCTCTGATATTTCATCAAATTCTTTCTCGCCAAATGAAAGTCTATAGAACGGAACAATCACCAACAATCAGTATGAATTCCATTAAGATACAACCTAAGTATGTCCAAAAATACGCCACCTACCCCCTAAGCTATCATAGAGGATGTTTCCAAAATAACCAAAAAAAAAAAAGTAAAAACACTAGTAGTGGAAACAATGGGATAATATATTAGCAGACTTAGTAAAATCTCACAAGTAGATTGTGAGAGCATTATAAAGGTTTATCATGCATGAAATGTCATGAGGTGACAAAAGAAGAGGATTAAGGTATTCTGTGGGGTAACTGATTAGCATGATAACCTACATATTCTTACAAAGGGAGGGAAGTCACAATTATCTTTCATGGGACCAGCTTTAGGATAGATATACGTATTTATTTAGCTTCTTGGTAAGCTAGACCAACTTCAATTTCAAAGAATCTGGGGAGTTGGGTTTCCTTTTTGGCTGTTTGTTTTCAACTAAAGACATCTTGTCCTCTTGCTTTGTACAGTCATTTAGATTCTACTTCTTCCTTATAGAAAAATGAGTTAAGGCAATACTAGGCTACTAGCCTTGAGGATTGGTGTCACACTTATAGCAGTAGGAAGTCAACACCACCCAAAAAAAAAAAAATGACTTCGTGAATTTTGGCACACTACTAATCCCCATCAAAGACCACATCTACTGTAGTACAGTTTCAAAAGAAGCAAACAAGAGCGTAGCATAAGAGAAAACATAGTTGTTTATATTACCAAAAGATATGATGGTGAATGATACCAATGTACCAACAGCTCCAAACAATATGATAGTAATGAAGTTGCGGAAGAACTGCTTTTTCTTCACCTGAAAGCTGGATAAGACAATTGAAGCTAAGAATATCAGTATCCAGACATGAATCCTAACTCTTTGTCGAAAAAATAATAAAGAAACAAGTGAGAGCAAACAGGTTTTTAAAGGGTTATTGAAAGAAATCTAACATACCCTGCATTAAATATAATCGGTGGAAGAAGGTATATGAAGAAAAGATCTTCACTGAAAACCAAAAGATGCGAACTCTTCCCTCCACTAATCAGCAGAATCACAACCCCAGTAGCCAAACCCTGCCAGTAAGAATCAAACCACGTTGTAGAAATTAGATCGTCAACCAGCACTCCAAAAGATAAACCTTGATAATTTAAAGCATAATCAACCCAATCTAATAAATGTATTGGAATCTTACTATAAGTAGAGCAGTGATGGACTCGTTCATCCAGCGATTCTCCTCTAGAAGATGACCAATTACGATGCAACCACAGAGCAGTGCCACAAACATATTCATCGAGACCACAGAAGCATGATCAGAAGTGGCAAGAGCATCCATCTTGCCAGACAACAGAGAGCTTAACTGCGACCACATTGTTTAGCTACTTTGTTCACCCACAATAATTTATACTTTATACAAGTATATGAATATACGTAAGTTTTATGTACGGCGAATCTTTAGTAGCTTCTGAAATACAGCTTTATGAAGCTTAATGATCTTTGCAAATACTAAGTCTCCTCGCTGTCCATATAATGACCCTCAAAGCTCATACACCATCAAAGTTCTGCATATCACACATTCAACAATCAACATGAGCAAAAAAATCAGTTAGTCCTACGAAACAATCAACAACAATTTACAGCTTCGTTCCATAAGCTTAAATGATTAAATCTCAGAAACCTAAAGCTCAAAATTTAATTATCGGTGTACATAGCGCCGCAAAGGGCAGTGATGTAGACGGGATTCGATCCCAATTTTATGCCACCCTTAAGAGTACAACCTAAACTAGTCAGCATCATTAAAGCTTTGCCAACATAACTACAGGCTTACAGCTGAATATACAATTAGCCCAATTTGATGATATTATAATTTAGTACTCCCTTTTTTATACGCTTTAATTACAGATACCCAGATGCATGATTAGCATGAATTACCATAAAATCACATTTAATAATTCACAAAACTTAAAAAGACAAAACCCCAGTTTTACTAACTTTGAGAACAATAATTTAGCCATTATCATCAATATAAGATTATAAGCTTAAACCTTAAAAACCCAGATGCTTATATCAGCAACCGATGATTCCAATCACAAAAACTGAGTACAAAAACAAAACCAAAAAAATTAATCGATTAAGATCAAACATGCACTGTGACACCACTTGATTATGCACTATTATTACAAAATAACATCTTAATTATTACATTAAAATTATAACAGTACGGCGATCTCCGAAAATATTTCGATGCCAATCAAATTATAAACATTAAATAACAATTATAATGGCATTAAATAAAAGAAATTTCACCATCATAATTTACCAGATTAACAAAAAAAAACGTACCAATGCATTTCCAAGTGTATGGGAAGTTAAAAAAACAGCAATAATTCAGGAACAAAACAGAAAAATCTGTTCTTTTTTTAATCAAACTGATTTCCAAGAAAATCCCAATAATTCCCAGAAATTGTGAATTTTCAGGACAAATGAAAACAAAGAAACAGAACAACAAAACGAAAATTCAGGTGGGTAAGAAAGAGATAAAAGGGGGTAAGAAAAGAGAAAACTCTGGAAGAAATGAGAGAAAATTCAGGGGGGGAAAATGAAATAAAATTGGAAGATAATTTTTTGTTTTTATTTTGTTAAATAATTGGAAAAATAAAAATGAAGCTTTTATTGAAAGTAAATATGAAGAAATAATGCCAAATACGAAATGACAAGTGCCAAAAGAATAAGGAAGAGAGAGAGGCGTGTAATACGGGGTTATATATGAAATTGATGATATCCACGGAGCATCTACATAAAAATCCTAAGCTAAGTTAAAGTTTTATAAAAGCCAATTTTTATGTTTTTTTTTGTGGGTGTATCACTCGTGATTCTCTCTTCTTATATTATCATTTTATTTAACAATTAATCTCAATCAATGGATCTTGATCTAGTTTAGCTAGATTGATACTAGTGTTAGAATGCAAGGTGTCTTTGATCTACTATCGTTTTGTGATGTGATGGTGATTCGTGGTAGAATTATACCGTCGGTTTAGTTATTAAATGCTTGTATGGTCAGGTATAGCTGTTTAGGTATAGAATAATGTTTGTATTTAAACCTGATTTGCTTTGTTGGATTGTATGTGTGTGGTGGTTAAGTAGATATCGCTGTGTACTTATCTAGCTTGATTAGGAAGGGAGGGGAAGAGGAGGAGGAGTTGAAGTTAATGTTCATTGATAATGGGGCAGATATGCATAATTATTTGTACTAATTATAAGTATAATGTTTTTGTCCGTTATAAATAATTGATGACAACTAATCAAAATCAATATGAAATCTATGGCCCTGTTTGGTTTGATGTAAAATGTTTTCATGGAAAATGAATTTTTCATTTTTTTTTCCATTTTCCTTTGTTTGGTTTGTTAAGGAGTGGAAAACAATTTTTCAAGGGTGGAAAATTTCATCCTTAATGATGGAAAACATTTTCCTTCCAAAAACTAGGGAAGCCACATTTTCCTCTCTCCTCCTTACCTCTTTTTTTACTTCCCTCTCATTCATCCTTACATTTCCACTCTTATTTTTTTTTATTTTTCTTGGACTTTTCTTGTATGCAACCAAACAAAGGAAAACTAATTTTCAATTGTGTTTTTTCTTAAAAATATGTTTTCCATGAAAACTAATTTTTCATTGAAAATGTTTTACATCAAACCAAACGGGGCCTATAAGCGCTACAAGCTTTCCAAAATGAAAGTTCTCTTTAGAAGATACATTCTGTGTATCATCTCTTGTACTATTTGAGCATTAGATTGTGGATTCCTCCTTTTAATAAATATATATTAGAAAAAGTCAGTGTCAAAATACTACTTAAACTTTTGTAAACACGTGCTATCATTATTGAAACTTAATTAGCTTCTTTGATATAGGTCATTACATATCGACATCTCTCATAATACATTATACGCTACAGTGAAATAACAACCTATTTTTTTCATCATTTATTAACAACATTTCTCCATCATAGAAATTTTAGCTCTTATATCATAACTAGAAGAGCTTATAAGTCTTACTTTGTAATCTCAATCTAATTATTTTACGAGCTCAAGACACCATATTATATTATTATCATCTCTTATTTAGAAGAACAAATACAAATCAAGAATTCTACGTACACGAGATTTTATAAAATAGACCTCGTGTGACTTATGACAACAATTATGTCTTGATAGTTGAATACAGGAACACAATCTTAAGTGGGTACACTTAACCAGGGGTGAAGCCAGGAATAAAAACCTAAGGGGGCCAAGAAACGATAAAGTTAACCAAAAAAAAACTCATAATGGAGAGTCGAACTTGAGACCTCCCTCTCCATACAAAGCTTCAACAACCAAGTAGGCTATCACTAATTGCTATTTATAAGTGACTTTAGGGGAACCAAAATACATATTATATACATCACCACTTGGGGCAATTGGGTATGGTGCAAGCCTCCAAGGTGTGACTAGGAACTTGTTTGGTTCAATTTATTTTAAACTTATGAGGACTAATAAAGCTATCTTATAATGTGAACGATTAGTATTAAATAAGTTAAAATAAGGTGAACAAATATGCTCTAACGTTACTTCCTCCCGATCAATTTGTCAATTTTGTTTGAAATTTTATAAAACCTAATGCAAATCATGAAATGTTGAAGATATATCTAATAACATCTCATTAGAAAGTATACAAGAGAAGAAAATCTTATGTATAGTAAATTGATTTATTTCAAAATTTCATTATATATATATATATATATATATATATATATATATATATATATATATATAAGACTCCTTTGGAAATGGATGAGTAAATCAAATGTCAATGAAGGGTTTGATTACTACAAGTCTACAACGTAACTCTAGAAGAACTACAATTACAGCTACTAATTGGTACTGTAATAAAAGTATTTTTGTATCAATATATCATGATCTATTTTATGGTCCTTTCATTTAATATTGTTATATCTTGTGTGTGTTCTGTTTTGTTTTTCTGTCATCTTGGATTCTTTGTTAGTTTCTTGTAGTGTCCTAGACAAGATGTCTAATACGGATAAGCAAGTATCTTTAGTTTCATATGTTATTGTTTTATTGTTTGGTAAGTCTTGTACCTGTCTAGCCATACGGTGTGGCCACATTGGTTTTTAATCTTTATATGTATGAGTAACCTCATTTTTTTCATAAGAGTAACTTCATATGTCCATAAAAATAATCCAAATTTATCATACGATCTAATAAAATCAAGTTATTTAGAAATAACTCAAATAAATAACCCTATTTGTTAATTTGAGTAACCCCCTATTCTTTTGTTTTAAGAAATGAAAGAATAGTTCCACATTTATGAGAAAGTAACCCATATTTCTCATTTAAGTAACCTATATACGTTAAGGTAACCCAATTCGCTCAATCGTGACCCTTACTACTTAATTAACTGTCATATATTTGATTATATGAAGTGACCACACCATGTGACTAGCCACCTATAAGAATTTGGGTTTATTATTAAATTATTTGTTACAATATACGAAATATACTTTTAAACAATTTTAGATTTTATGTTATATATTTTATTAACATATTACTACTATTAGAGAAGATAAATGTTAAAGTTGTATCTCAACATACATATTTGATTAAAGTGTAACACTTTTTTTTTATAGAAAAAAAAAATAGGGAAAGTATATACTAAAATAAAATACCCCTTAGATTTTGTCTTGTGCAAATGCATGGGCTGCACCGGCTAAGAGTCGGGCCTATATTTCTTTATTCCAATTTTGTCAATTTTTGTAATTTTATCATCTAATAATGGTCTACAACTAAAGTACATAGATATTTTAAAATTTGTGTATTTTTCCTTTACATTATTGATAATTAAGAATAAAAAAAATTGCTGAATAGTGATTTTATAGCAGAAAAATACAAGATCTAAATTGCATCTGAAAAGGAGACGGTTCAATAAATCTCAAAGTACTCTGGGATTTGGCATTTTAGGTTGAGCTGTTTATTTTCAATATTCCAGCTTGACATGCATTATTATTTATTTATGAACAAGATAAGTAACCTGTCTTATACTCACTACTTTGGTGTTTTAACGTGCTAAATTCCAAGCCGCCCATTTTTTATTTTTATTATCGACACATCTCATAATCACACATGTATCAATTATATCCAAGCTTATCAATGAGATTTTTTCTTTTTTTATTTTACTTTTATTGGTTTATTGCAATATTAAAAGAAATATTACACAAAATATTCTTTTTCATGATCTTAATTACTAGTTGAATAACTTTTGTATATATTCGGTGTACAGTAATTTACTATACATATTTTATATCGAGGGTCACTTTATATTAAATTCAGGGTCACTTTCACAAATTTTTAAGTAAAGTTTATCAATAAAGCATAGGAAAAATACACTTTAATAATCCCAACTATTGCCGATTTACCTAAAACAATCCCAACTAAGGTTTATTTTTTAACAATCCTAACTATGCACCCAGTTTTCCTCCAACAGACCCATCCGGTCAACACCAAGTCAATGACTTGCTGTAACAGGTAACCAATACACGTGTCAGCACATGATTGGTCTAAATTAAAAAATTAAAATAAAAAAAAAAAATCCTCACAGCCACCACCCCTCCCTTACGCCACCACGAAACACTAGGGGCAACCCCCAGCCCGTCGGGAAATGGTCGGCCATCTCCCCCGACCCTCGAAAATGGCCGGATGGCCCTTCCCAACCATAAAAATCACCGTCGCCGGCCCATTCCCACCCCCAAACCACCGAATTCGACCTCTAAAAACTCCCATTCCCAAACCACTGAAATCGACCCTTGAAAACAACCTTCCCACCATAAAAAACGACCGTCCTCCCTTCCCCAACCCCCGAATTCGCCCCCCTAGGAGGTTTCGACTTTCGAGGGTGTAGGAAGGGAGGAAGAGCGACATTGATTGTTTTTTTTTTGTTTTCCGGCGAAAGGGGAGCGAAGGGAGGAGAATGGTTTAGGGGGATGAGATGGTTCAAATGTGTGTTCTTGGGGGGTTTGGAGGGTCGACCGACCATTTTAGAGGGGTTAGGGAGGTAGTCGGCCGGTGGCTGGTGGTTTTAAGGGTTGTCTTAGGGTTTCACGGTGGGTGAAGGGAGGAGGGGGTGGCTGGCTGGCTGGGTTGGTTGATTTGGTTTTTTTTTTTTTTTTGAAGCTGATTCGATTTCTCTATTTTTAATACTTTTGTTTTTTTTAAATTAAGCCAATTATGTGATGACATGTGGCATTTAAAAAACAATATTTTTTTTACCCTTTTAGCAGGTAACCGGTTTTTGGGACTGTTGGAGGAAAACTGGGTGCATAGTTAGGATTGTTAAAAAATAAACTTTAGTTGGGATTGTTGTAGGTAAATTGGCAATAGTTGGGATTATTAAAGTGTATTTTTCCTAAAGCATAAATACTTTGTAACTTTTACTTATGTAAGGGTAATTTTTATTCGAGAAGGTTTTGCGTGAGACCGTTTCACGTGAGTCCGGTTATAATGCACACACTCATCCCTACCCACATAAACTTTTAAGCTAATTGTCATTTTAGCTTCAATGGCTAGCTAATAACTTACTATTTAAATTGATCACACCTCCTTAATTTACGTTAATAAATTTCATTTTATTTATCCTAATTTGTTTTATTATAGCAACTTTTTTCCAAGCAAATTGACTTGACAAAGTTAATAATTTGATTGACCAAGCTACTAGCATTTTCTAGCTCCAATGGTTAAACTAGTAACTACTAGCTAGAGATTATCTAATATTGCAAGCGAGTCCCTAACTACAACCATTAGAGTTGCTCTTAGCTTATTTAGTTGTGATTTTGTAGGAAAATTGTCTTAGC